GGGGGGGGGGGGGTCTTCGACCTGAAAAATCAGGGGTTAGGATTTGCACCTGGTCGAAAGAAACCTTGCTATCGCAAGAGTAACTCCAGCCAGCTTCGCCAGCTTTCGTGAAAAGGCTTCGACCGGAGACAGTAGATGTGAATAATTAGATAACGATATGCTCGTTCAGGACATGCCCCATCAATGACTGGTTTGTTCAAGTGTTCAAACAAATATGCCAGTGTCCATCCTTCACTTCTCCTTCTGAGCAACATCAAAGGCCAATCCTTCGATGGTGATCGCTGCATCCAGGGATTGCAACAATACGACTTCCAGGCACACAGCCTCAAGCCACTTCCGTGGCGCGTGAAACGCCGACAAAAACAACATCTGGGACAACCCTGAGCGATCCATGACCTCCCCTGCGGATGACTCACGCACAACACCTCTTGACCCGGACCATTCCAGGTGTTCCAAAGAACCAAACACATCGTAAAGTGGTTTCAGAGGTGAGAAGTGGCGCCCAAAGATGATGTCTTTGGTATGGAGGTCCATATAACCCACCGACATTGGGGATGGTGCCATCTACCCTGAGACCACTGTAAAAACCAAAGGAGTTCGCCGGAGGAGTCCCCTGACCACCTCCACACTATGGTCTTGTGGGGCAACACATTCCAGCAGAAATGGATTCCGATTTTGCGGCCTGAACTGGCCAGACCTAATACTGCAAACTTGTTTTGAGGTATAACGGTATAACAACCTATATTAAAAGCAACAGTTATTTTGACCACCTACCACCTGTTTTTTTCTGAGATACATCATTACGTCTCCATCTCCTAGCCCCAAATGTCAAATATATAATTGCAACACAATATTTCTAGAAAAATTGTTCAAAACGTCAGAGGCATGCCATAGTATACCTGAACGTGGCAGCCACGATGCCCACCATTCTGGAATCCGCAAGCAGCCTTTTGATCCATCCTCCAAGAAGCCCATTCCTGGTCGGTGTACAAGATGCCCAAAATCACGCCAATGAGATGGATGAAGTTCAAAGGAATGATGGCCCAAAAGCCAAGTCGAAGCCTTGGAGCCGCGAAACGAAGCGGGTCCAATCCGGGGGGGGGGGGTGGGAGATGTGTCACAGTAAGGAGCCAAGCGGGACGTGTTGCATAGACCTCCAGTCAAAGCAAAAGTATACACATTCCAAACAAGGTCTGCCAACTCAATGCCTTCCACAAGCCACAAATCGGGGAATACTATCGATACTATTGGCAGTGTATGCACTCAGTGCTTTCAAGGGAATGCTCGATTGCACAAAGGGCCGTCTTTGCAAATCTGCTAATCATCATCTCGCAGCTCGTTGACCACTACAATCTCACCCTTGTGGTGAACAATGAAACCAAGGGATCCAAAGAAAAACCAGTGGCTGCGTATCGGAATTAGACGCAATGAGGTCGACCACCTGGTTGAAGAAAACCACCTACTGCACCTAAATTCCAAAACATTTCCTTGCCTTTTGGAATTGTGAGGGCCCCTGTGTGGGCTGTCTCACCGCCGTGAGACCGAAAACCAATCAGATTCTCTTCAACACCAGTCAGACTTCCTAACACTGGCTTTCAACGGAACATCAATGACAACCAATTAATCTAAGTTCATTTTATCAACACTCAAGAGAGAGTATTCACTGTTTCCCTTAAAGTTCTTAAGGGGCCGCTTGCTCATGCGTGCTCTGTCTTGCCATTGCCAGTTCAACATTGAACATTACAAAAAAAAGTCTAAGAGCAGTAGTAACAAAACATTTGATTGGGACAATCACTGAAGTAAATCAACTATATACCCCTGTGTGGCAGCAAGTAGCTTCAAATTGCAAGTCGAAAATGACAAGGAACTGCGGATGCTTTCCTACTATAGGATCTTTAAATATGGTTGACTTCTCTTGCCACAATGGAGCCTTTTTGAAGCAGGTGTCCATTGGAAGGTGCCGAGTCTAGCAAACCACCCTGCTACAAGTCGAAACTTGAGAGAGGAGGGCGTGAACGAAAGGTAGCAGGCAATCACAAGTAACCCTGGTAGAAGTCCAGGAGGCAAAATGCCACACTGCAAACCTTGAATCGTACACCGTGAAAAAAGAGTCGAGGTTGTATGGGAGAGACGAACTTCTGTGCTTGGATCAGCCAGGTCTTTGTGGCCACTTTGAAGCCTACATAGCTTAAAACCATCGATATTTACATGTGTTTGCAATTGTTCGACCATTTTTGAAGCCTAGACACCTCAAAAACCATCGGTGTTTACGAGTTTTTTTGCCGAACAGTCACAAAAAACATCAAAAAAACATGTAAATAGCGTGGTTTGAGGCCACTCTTGAAGACTGGAGGAGCTGAAGCCGCGCCAGGGTGGAGTTGAAAGGGGGGGGGGCCACCCCCCGGCCACTAAAGTGAAATGTCGGCGATTCTCAGTGAGATAGGCCTCCACTCTGGTTATAATTCATTTTTGCTAAAGCAAAAGGAAAACTCAGGTAGCGTAACCGCTACCTTTCGTGAACAAAACACTCTCTCTGATGCATTCTTGGCTCTTTGTTGCTCTTCATTCTTCTAAACCAGGCCATGGCATCGGAAATCTCCAGCACCGCCCCATGCTCCCACAGCCTGCTGTGCCACGTCCAAGTCACTGTACCTGTTGCATGAAGATCCGTCCCATAAAGCCCAGGGATCCCCCCAGCCCGGCACGGGCGATGGGCCAACCCATGGCGCGGTAGTGCAATGTCAGCCCCGACCAGCAATATCCTCGCGAAGACAGAGCGTTCGCCGTCCGGACGTGAGTTTGGACCGGTGAGATCGGCGAAACGAAAGGGCGAAAGGAGACGGAACACACCAAATCCGTGCTGCACTCGCGGTTGCAGGCCTTTCTTCGGTTTGAAAAGGTGAAGAAAGGATTCAAAGCCCATGTCTGAAGTGAACATTCCGCGGACAATGGGATTGCCAGGATCTGGAGCACACTGGGAAAGCCACTATGCCAGAAGAACACCACACACTGGCATGCAATCACCACCCTCAAATGAAGGAATTCAATACATTCTGGGCTTTGAGCTTCAGCCAAATATGTAATGCATAGATCTCAAATATATAGGCAATAACAGGATGGATCATGATGGAAGGTCTGTGTCACCAGCATGCAGCATGGTCCAGATATGGAGCCTATCGCCAGCCAGCGCTGGACCTACGAAGCTCTCCACGACGCGTGGAGCATTCCCCACGTGCGATGCCACCAAGGCGCCGCTAATCATCCCATTCAAACAGGGCCTGATGAGGAGAAGGCAGCATGGCAGCATGTGGTGGAAATGCTGTGTGTGAGGTTCCCTGCGCTGAAAAGCACATCCGACCAACAAAACCAAAAATGAATATGCGAGAAACTGAGAAAGCACCAGCATGTGGTGGTTTCAGCGCTCTTCTATCAACGGTGCGGGGCCTCCTCTCAAAGGCTTGGGATGCCCCAGCTAACGGGGAAAACATCGCATAGAAAAACCATGAACCCCGACCTGAACCTCAAATCATCTCACAATTGTTAGCTGTTATCTCTTTTTGAGGCAGCAATCTGGGGTGACAAATGTGCAAACGTCTCTCAAACGTCTCTCAAACAACCCAATGAGCATGGACAGAAACATTCCTGGTGAACATCTGAAATTCTCAATGGTCTTCTCCATCACGACCAACCATGGATTAGCTGCCCAAAAACTTGTCTTTTTTGTGTCTCGTCCAAGATGCACCTTCACCTTCGCAGGACCCACACGACCTTCCCCAAGAATGTCAGTAATTAAGGCCTTCGGGCCTACAACTTGGAACCCATCGGATTCCAATTGCCCTACCCTATCCCATACACTCCATGTATGGAGCATATGCCTACATGGCATACTACATGGAGCGGAGGGCCCAATTACCATCTGAGAAGGTATGTGAATCCCTAGGGCTACGTTACATGCCAAACATAAATCTTGAAAATCACATGATGAATGATGAATGCCTCTGAAAATGCAGTTATGAGTATCATTTGCATAGTATCTGAACCCCCATGAACATGTCTGGAATATATACATCGATGATAGTTGGCGGAGTCCGGCTAGCCAAACATGAGCTAATCAAGTACACCAAACTGGGATGGCTGTTGTCGCAACATAGATATCAGTGGAGTTGACTCCTCAACAAATATCTGTAAATCGATCTTGTGGGCCTGGGCAGGATTTACACCCTGATCAACATCAAAAACCGGATCGCCACCGATCGTGCATGTGGCATGTCCGGGCCCCCCGGAGGTTTCCGCAGATGTTCTTGGACGGATCGCCACCAGGTTGGACCACCGCAGGCAGCACAGGAAAAAAACAACACCTGCTTGGGAAAGGGATGCAGTCGACTTGGGACAGGGCGCCGCCCTTCCACGAGAAGGACATGTTCGAGGTCGAAGGTCACATCGGTTTGCAAACGTAAAAAAAGTGAACATTTCAAGGCGAGGTGGCTTTTGTTTTTTTGCCAGGAGCCCCTAATAGCGTCCTGGCTCCTAGTAGTAAGGCCAGGAGCCCTAGTAGCTTCTTCTTACTAGTAGCGATGCCAGGAGCCCCTCCATGTGCACAGCGTGCGCTCACCACTTGGATTCATGAAACATCTGCCAGGCTGCATGAGGATGCAAACCATCACATAAGTCCTCAGATCGTGGGCGGGCAACTCATCTGGAACAGTCGGATCTACTGTAATTGCCGCCCTCCACTAGCATCATCATCTGCTGTGGCGATGATGGACGACTTGTCACCAACATGATCAATCGTTTACCTGTTGCATCCTGCAAGGGTAGCAGCAATAAATGATGGCCACGGAGAGCCTGCAGTATAAACAAAGATTCTCTCACTGTTGAGCCGCTTCCAAAAGGTCTACGGGCTTGTACCGGTCTTAGGCGTGCTTCCCGGATACTGAGGGCCAGTCACGGCCAGGTCTGAGAAAACAGCTTCCACTGATCGTCGGACATCAGGTTTCAAATCACTTCGCTTGTGCTGGCGTAGAATCCACTGTACGTAGCAAACTTCCCGGATTTAAATTGGAGGTCAAAACTCCTCACACCACTGGGAACCTTATCCTGTCCCTTGTAGTTTGACTTGTGCACTAACTACCTCATGTCACACTCACTCACCCACGGACTCACTCCCTCACTCCCCCTCTCTCGCTCTTACTCTCACTCTTACTCTCACTCGGAGGCATCCGACAGTTGTCCTTGTCAAATGCTGAAACACGCATGTTCCGTCAACAGTAGTTCCGATAACTTTGGAACGAAGCAACAAGCAAATCGGCTAAAATCATCTGAAAACGAGGATCAATGAGCAGGGCAGGTGCTCTGGCTCATCCTCATCGAACTCATACATGTCATCCTCTTCCTCCTCCTCCTCGTCCTCACCAGCTTTGGCGGAGGCCGCCATCTCCACAAAATGTTCTTGCCGGAGTGCCTCAAATATGCTGGTTTCGTTGAATGTCCAAGCTGGTTGGCGACCGCTGGATTGGCCAGCCCATTCTGGTTTTGCATTTGAGCATCTCAAGAAAAAACAAGCGGCTTAGCTTCAATTGTTAAAACTGATTCATCATCCCAGGGAAGGATAAAAGCATCATGCATCATCATCCAGCATTACTTTACCTGTCACTGGTCTGTGAATTATACGTGGCACAAAGCCGCGACAAAGCCTGCATAAAATGAGTATTGCATAGTAGACCCGAAACTATGATTGCTCATGTATTTACTTATGACTTTTCAACATGTTTAGCACATACCAAAAACCAAGAAGAACTGGGATCATGACATAATATGTCCAAGTCACCTATGACATGACTTATCCAAGAACCACTTCGAACCACTTCCCAACTGCAATAGGTGACAAATCTCATTGAACCACACATGACCACACAATGCATGATTAATAAATTGACGTTCTTATCGTTCTTTGCTTCATGACTAATCACAGTCGGTTTCGTGCCCGAGTTCATGTTGACCCGAGGTGTCCTGCAAAATGCCAACTAGAACGCCAGCATATCCATTCACATCATGTTTCATCGATTGGCATGTGTTAATTCTCTTAATCCATGTTGTGGAACATGGATCCCTACAGAACAGCCATGAACTCACGCAGAACATATATCAGCGTTCGAAGGACTCTGAGTTGGGCGAGTTGGGCGAGCAAGCAACTGAGTTGGGCGAGCAAGTTGGCCGACACTTGTGCGGGATGCCCAACTTGTTCTCCAATGGAATCATCGCTATGAGTAACAAGTTGGGCATCGCCCAGAAACGGAGCTCGAGGACGCTACTAGGTAGTAGCTCCTGGCATTACTAGTAGCGAGAATGCTATTAGCTAACAAGGGTCAATCTCTCCAATTGAATCATACTTGAGTCGATGTGCTTTTACAAAACACAGGGCCTGTTCCCACCTGATGAATTCAACTCCGAAAATCGTAGAAACTGTTGCAATCTCTCTTCAATCACCTGTTTGTCGGCTCCCCCAACAAATCAACCGCCAAAGGAAGGCTTGTAGCTTGTAGGGTGGGGTGGAGCTATTGAGGGGATAAACACTTCATTCTCAATGAGTAATTAAATCTTCATACAAAACAGCAGGGTCACACAGGGAGTCTCCCCCAAAAAAGAGTCTTACAGAAGACCATGGGTGTCCCTCGTGTCTCAACATGAGGCGCTTGCATGCGCAAGCGCACTCCCGCGCGTGTTCTGCGCGTCTCTCTCTCTCTCTCTCATGGTCTGTCCAAATGCTGGCACAAATGGGCGGCATCACCTTCAGCGGCTTTGTCCAAAACCTACCAAGGTCATCCAAAGGGAAGACAGCACACACCCATGGTAGGTCAAGGCACACCCAGCCGCTAGCTCGGTCGAGACCGGTGTGGGCAGTCTCACGAAGCCGATCGTTGGACAGCTCAGCTGTAGCGGGCCCAGCTTTTCAGAGTCAGGCTTTATCCGACGTGCTGGCCGTGGTGGTCTAAATGGTTCAAAGGATCTCCTGTTGCTTGTGACATGTGAGGAGCCTTTGCTATTGTACGAGTCATTGGGTTCTAATCAAAACATCCGCTCCCGTTTTGGACAGCGTTTGACAACGCCGTTCTTGTGACCCTGAACCAGAATCGGTGCTGCAGGCGAAAAAAGACTCGGGAGATGCTCAAGTCCTAGGGCGCCCTATACGGTTCAAAGACCTTTCGTACAGGAGATCTTCCAACAGTAGCATGAAGAAACACATTTTCTTGATGGCTCACCTCCACGATCAAAGACCAACGACACTAAAGGTGAAAAGCCCCCGCCTGAAATGTGAAAACCTTGCCGCGTCCCCGATCCACAAACGGTGCAGAAAAGGCGGCATTTTCTCTTGCTAAGACGAAGTCAACCAAGCTCCTGTCACTGGTTTTGATCAAAGTTTGCTCCAAAGAGTCCAAGTGCTGCCCACAAATTCACCCCCGTTTCGCGGTCCTGAAAAGGCCTTGCACATTCCAAGGTGAAGAATTGGGGATCAAAAGGCTATCGGCCATAGTTAAAAGATGTCAAAGGTCTGGTAGGACAAGGGGATTCCTTCCAGTGCTTTCTGCAGGAACATTAGGTCTCAACTTGACCCTCCCCAATCTGCACCTGTTCGTTGAAGCTTTTCTGCCCTTTTGGGGGCCTCCACCAGCGACCAGCGTCGTGAAAAACATCGACGTAGGTTTTAAAGTCTGAGCTTATGTGTGTATATATATATATATCTGTGTGCATGTGTCTATATGTCATGTTATTTTAAAACGATCCAGCTGTTCAAAAGACACTCAAGCGTAGGTCCATATGTCCGTATATTCCAAATGTCTGACTTTCAGCATTCGTCTGACGTTGGTCCTACGCATTCTTCATGTGTGAAACGGTGCATGGGATTTTGATGGGGTCCTCGGGGGTTGACGGTGCTTCCGCGTGCTGCATTGGGACATGTGGTCAGCGGGCTGACCAACAAAGGAAACCTCTGGAAGACCATGTAACAAATCAGAGCTGGGGACTGTGGTAGTAGGCCTGTTCTCTCTTGTTTATCATATTACCTCCTTATGTCTTTGTACATTTGCAAGAATTGAATTTGATTGTCATTGGTCGCATATAGTTTTTTCAGATATGATACAATCTATGAAAGGATCATTATGATAATATAAAGATTGTGTTTTGATATGTTTGATATTGTGTACAATAATTTTGCCATACTCCCTAAACTTAGTTTAAGTGCAAGATGCTCACGCTAAGAAGTAAAAAAAAGCAAACAAAGTGTTTGTCAATGTCTGAGGGGCAAATCCTGAGACATGGACTTGTTTCTTTTGTGACTATGACTATATCACGCAAACAGCAATTACAAAGGAATAGCCATGCTGAAGCCTTCTTACCAAACCACAAAAGCTAGTGGGGCGATTGTTTGTTTCAACTGTGTTGGTTCGACACAGAAACAGCAAAGGAAAAAGGAAGAGCCACGCTGAAGCCCTCTTAGCACAAGTAACAGCCATTACTAACCTTAAAACATTAATGAAATAGTAGTACAAAATAGCAGTGCAATCAGAATTGATATATAGGTACGTAACAAGAACAAAGTGTACTACCACAGTCCCCTGTTCTTTTCAATAATCGGGGACTGATTTGCTGCACACGCGCCTCGGCACATCATGTCAGGTTCCAGGCATGGCAACCTCTCTCTCCCTAGGGATCCAAGTACCTTCTCAGAAGGTTTGGGGCGGGTTTGGAGGGTCCAGGTGCCTTCTAAAATTCGGTACGACTGGATCCCTAGGGTCTGGTGGTTTCAGGGTAGATCGCACCTGATACGGTCGTCTTTTCCTTTCTAAAGTACGCAGCTTCCGTTCATGAACGGAGGGGTGCCATGTTGATCGCTCCGTTCGCAAGGTTAGATGTCAAAAGTCTTTGTTGGATGAACTGTCATTCATTGGGTCTATCCGAGTCTATTCTATGACCAGTAAGGGTGAATGATGATGGTACAGTCAAGGCCTTGTTCAATAATATATAGTGATCATCTTTACTGACTGTTGCAGGGAATAGGACAGACCAAGTCACCAAGTCTAACTAAGACATTCATGTATGACATGGGTTCAGTTCGCTCCCCGATAATCTTCTTGCACACCCATAGTGACGTAAGGAAAATCGAAAATTGATTCAACCTCCACCATGGCCGTGTAGTAGCACCATCGTCAGCCAACCAACTCTCAAAAACCAACCCTGCTGCACCTGGCTTCCTGCAGTCCAACCTGGAACAGCTTGGGCACAGGAGCGCGCCAATAGGTCAAAGACCGGCCTCAAGCCCTCAACTGGTGCCAAAGCAAAAGAATCTGTCATCCCTATGGGTCCACAAACCGAACCTGAGGTACGGTGAGCAGGGAGACGATTGATGGGGAGGTTCCGTGCCGAACCTGAGGTTCGGTATGTGGTCCATGGGGAATGTTCACCTCTACCACCTTGGCCTGGGGCAACGGGATGCTTCGTAGCGGGAAGTGGCGGCAAACATCCCACAGCAATGGTTCGTAGCTCGTTGGAAAGGATGGCCCATGATGCAAGTGATGGCAGCCACACTAGCTAGGAATTCGCACTTTCCACAAGTCTCACAAAAATCCTTAGGACGGTTGGTTGGCCCCTCACTCATGTGAGTCAGCAAGGTTATCGCTTGCTTTTGCAGGTTAAAGCCCAATTCCTGAGGTTCACGACTGCTGTTTACTAAATTAGTCGTGGCACGTTTTGGCCAGTTCTCACCAGCGCCAGTTCTCGGCGCCCGATCGGATGCCGGTTTGGTACAGCTGAAGGTTGGACAAGGCCGGTTGACCCAAAGACTTCCCCGAGGAGGCTGTCACCGGTGTCACCTCCGCCCCCCTTCGACGGTTCGCAACCCACTCCGTGGAACGTGCCGCGTGCGAGCGCGTGAGGCTCTCGTCGACTGGGCGACTGTAGGCGACGGTAGCCATACGAGAGACGACGTCATACATCGATTTAAGGGGCCCATTTCCGCCAGCAGCTTCTCGCAACTTGCTGGGATCGGTGGGAAAGAACCATCCATCGAAAGCAGCGGCTTTTTCGGATCGAAAAGCAGTCCTGGCACTCCCTGAAATAATCCATGGAAGTGGAACATGGATGCTTGCATGACCATTCACTTTCCACTACCTGGTTTAACCACTTCCAATATTGTTTCAGTGTAGCAACCCATCTAAAGCACCAACTCATTTGCCCAGCCCATCTCACATGCCGCTTCAATCTCCCTGCCTGCCGCACTGCACAAGCCGCGGAGCTCGGTGCATTTTGCACCACGCTGTTCGTGACACTTCGTGCCTGCGCCTGACGCTGTTGCTGCGCCTTGTGGTCCTTTTGCACCTGAGTTCCGGAGTTTCAGTCGTTGGCCAAAACGTGAGCCGACGGTCGGGTGGTCGGGTCGGG